GATAGATAATATCTTGTATAACGATTTTTTTTCGTAACTACTATGTTATCGCTATAAATAGAATTCTTGGTATTAACGATAACTCGCTATAACGATGAAAATGTGACCTAACGGGAGTATCGTTATATCCAGTCTTGACTGTAATATGTTCTGGCCCATAGCAAAATTCAATGTGCACGACGATCGTAAGATAAGTGAGGCAACCCATGCTTTCAAAGAGAAGTAGGTTTCTAAAATTGTATGATAAAATTTTGCCATTATTCAAACGATAACATAGATTCATAAAGGAAAGAATACGTCACCGTTTATCACAACATCCAGATTATTAAAATAGATTTGTCACGCCATCTAAAACGATCTACCTTGCCGCGCTGTATGATATAGTAACAATTCTAAAGATGAAAATAGTAGTAGTAGTAATAATATTATTTATCCTATATATAGTTATTTATTCAATAAAAAATAAATTATCATAACCCTACCCGGTGAAATTACCAGGTGGGGTTTTATTTGCGTAACTATCAATTATTGATTCTTCAAATAACTATTTTCAAAACAAAAAGCGCGCTTAGAGGAGGAGAGATTGTTGTGAAGCGATAGATACATGTGCGATGGAGAGTAACGTTGATATCGCCATGTCGGTACTAATAATAACAAAGAGAATGGATGAGTAACCATGTCATCATAGTCAAAGACCATTGAAGAACGTTCACAACAGGCGCGTCCACCGAAGTCAGGGCCGGGGTTCTGACGGGTAAACGTCGCATGCTGTGGCCACGATGCGCTTTCAATTCAATGGTCCGTGTATCCTATTCACCACAGCCCGAGCGTGACAAGCTACAGTCGGCGTTTCGGAACGGATTACGAACGTTCACAACAAGTAGATTATTTAGATCAATCAGACCCCCGAACACAAAGTATTTTTGAGTGTATCCTATTCATCACAAAGCCGACATAAACACAGCTTTTTTTTCGGTAACGGGGTTTTGATTACTTTACACCCTATGTGCTCCTAAAACCTCCGACTTACACCTAGTGGCAGCGTACCTTCAGATACACATACTAAGTTATAACCCGAAAGATAAATAATCTACAGGTATGGCCCGATGCGCTTTCAAGTAATCCGATTTTTACACCTAGTGGCAGCGTCCTTAGGATACAAACTCTCAACAGATACCCAGTAAGAATTCTTACCTCGTCTTCAAACTGCCTTCCTCTTGCTACGGAACTCGTCGATAAACCGAGTCGTCGCGAGCGTCTTTTTCTTGATCGCGGCAAGAGTGTATATGTGAGTGTCGGCTACGTGGTGGATAAACCGTGCGTTTCAAAGACTTGTTACGTGAGTTGTAGCAAAGTGTTGTATGTGCGTAATATGGGTAGCAGCAAAGGCATTATTCTTTGTATATTAACTCTTCAATAACATTATATTTGCGCTTGGAGGAGAGATTGTTGTGAGGCGATACATGTGCAATGGAAAATAGCGTCTGGGTATATATAACAAATCAAGTCACGCGTATAATTTAATTAAACTGGTTATCTACACAATAAGGAGCGTGAGAGTCTGTGACTGTCGACCAATAATAAAGCATAAACGGATATCGATATATTGCCTAGCGTAACACATCATTGCAATTGTCACGATTGTTTCCGTAAATAAGAACAATAGTATCAGTGTAACATTCGGGAGCACACGCAGGAAAATATTTTTCACTGGTTAACAAGTCCGATAAGCCACGCAATTAAACTGACCTCTATGATAGTGATGACGCAATATAATCTATGTAGTATAGCGATTGTCTAGCCCGGATAATAATCAGATTGTTATTATTGTAATAGATGCCCCTCTGTAAGAGGGTGTGACTGTAGAGAATTCTCCTTATACGATTTCAGTATATACAGTAGAACCTGTATATATTTATGACCGGGGGTTTTTGTAAATATATACAGGCTATAAGTTTATAAAAGTTTTAATTGAAAATTACGTGTTATTTATTTGACCAACCAGAACATATTATTATATTAAAAAAGACATACAGTATGCTATTAATACTTTTCTGTGAGGGTAATAAAGTCAATTAAAGAAATGGAGGATAGTTTGAAATATTCTGGCTTCAACAAACGAAGTGCGATTTATAGAGCTTCAAAACTCACGACAAACAAATTTGTTGGAATTTTTTAGGGTTGAAAATTCACCAATCAGATTTAGCAATTAAGCGAATCTGATTGGTCATATAAGTTTATGCGTCAGACGAGGACTTAAAATTTCATAATATAAAGTTATACAGTATAATTATATCCCTAAGTCCCGACTCGGGTCCAGAGATTTTAATATCACGGGAGAGCAGGTAATAATCGACACTAGAAATTTAGCTATTTTCGGCAGAGCGTGGCGCCTCCTTCTCTAGATAAACCTCGGGTTACAGTTAGTGACCCTGTTCAATCAAGGCTTTGCACTTACGAAACCTTCCCGTCATAGAGTGACACTAATCCTGGATATATTGATTGTATTCGATAACTCTGCTACCGTTGGGAAAATAGTATTTTAATTATAGTAATGCGCATCTACATAACAATTAATTATCGTAATTTGCCACTCGAATAATCGGGGCAAGAGGCGATTATTCTTCATCGATATAGGGATTAGCGGTTTCTCAGCTATACCGATAAATTACCAGGGAATGAATCATTAACAATGTATTTCAGAGTATAAAGAACTACTCATTTATTTACAATAAAGGAACTTATATATCTTTCGAGTAGCAACTATTACTAATCATCTAAGCTATTGTTCTCAGTATACTGTACGTTTATCGCTGCTACAGTCAACTGCCTATTACTATAATTCGACCGCTTGCGTTCCGAAGTTATCGATCGAATTAACGTACAAGTCGAATTAACGTCAGTTAATTACAATAGAAATAATAATAAATGTCAAAAAATGTTCTGTAACCAGCGGTCGAATTAACGTATAAATCGAATTAAAGAAGGTCGAATTATCGGCAGTTGACTGTAATAATTTTTCTATTATTAATATTTCTGTACCACTGCGGTACAAACATTGTGTACCATGCGCTGGTGTTACTGTCAGAGTAATGCAGAAATTCAGGAGAGAATACGTCACCGTTTATAGCGTAGCATCACAATAATTTTATTATATCTAGGTTCTACTGTATACAATTTGTTGTAAATGGGTTTACAATTTTATTGTAAAATCTACAAAATGACTTTCTTACAACTTGATATTCGGTTTATTTATTCAGTTAAAGTCAATGATCCGCTAGCACTCTGCAATTGTCATTTTTGTGACAGCTTCGCGAGGCCTGTTCAGAGCATGCTTCATCTTTGATGCCTTGCTGTCCATGCTCGAATGCTTTAATCAAGTAAGTTTCGAGTATCATAATAAGATCTACGAGGTGCATAACATGTGCCATTTTTTTATCAAATTCACGTGATATGCACAAATTTCGATCGTTTTTCGCAATTCTCAAAAAATTTTTTGTCTTCCTAGATCAATAATAAATCAATATGTCACAGGACATGGACATATACCGTGATAGTGCTGCAAGAAGCGAGAGTGACAATAATTTAGGCGACTCTGTAGTTATTTCTAAGTATCAGACAGCAGCAGATATTGCCAATGGTAAGATGCGTTGATCTTGAACGAATATTGCTGAATATAGTTTAATTTTCCCATAATTGCATATCTATAGCTGTCCTGTCTGAGGTATTAGCAAAGTTGACACCAGGCGTTAGTATTGCTACCATATGTCGATCTGGTGATAATGCGATAACGGCTTATGTGAGTAAAGTACCTTGACGATAAATTGTGTTACAGAACGGCTTAATTACAACAACAACATATGTTATAAACAGACGAGCAAGGTCTATAACGATACCAACATCGAAAAGGGCATCGCATTGCCAACGATGATAAGTATAAACCATTACAGTCAATACTACTCGCCATTAATGAAGGATTCTCTTGTGCTACGCGCAGGTGATCTCGTAAAAATGTATTGTGCGTTTATTATCTGTATAGATTAGCTATCGTTTTATTGTTCTATCTTTCGCTAAAGTAGCTACTGTTCTATCCTGATATACAGAGAACTAGGTGTTCATATCGATGGATACACGGCGACATCAGCTCATACTACAATATTGAATCCCAGTCCGCAACAGCCAGTCATAGGTATTTGATGAGGATGGACTATTATTAATGTGCGTGTGTTGTATATACATAATTCTCTCTTATTTACGAATTATGCTGAAATCTTGCAATGGCTAAATGCTGCAGGTCGTATGGCTGACGTGGTTGCTGCTGCCTATTTCAGTTGTGAAGCTGTGTGCAAATCATTGAAACCAGGGGTGAAAGTACGTAATCTTTTAACCTTTTTTTTTTTGCCGCATTTTCCCGTGCTAATCGAGCGAATCTTTCTCTTTTAGTATTCAGACCTAAACAATGTCATTAATCAAGTAGCTGATGCATTCAAGTGTATTCCCGTTGAGGGATCTGTATCCAAAGTGATGAGAAGATACATCTTACAGTATGATAAAGTTGTAGTGCATAGACAAGCAGAATATGAACCGATGCATAAAGAAGATTGGGAAGTTGAACCGAACGAAGCATATGCAATTAATATTCTAATGAGCACTGGTGATGGAAAGGTAAGTCGATATAGTGAGCGATTAGGCAACCATCATACAAATCTCATTGTATGCAAATATTAATGCAGTTGAGACAACTCGAGTCCCGACCAACTGTGTATAAGCGCAACGTAAACGAAACGTACAATTTGAAGATGCAATCGGCACGAGCAGCATTTAGAAAGATCTCGGAGAAGTTTGGAGTGTTTCCATTTTCTCTCAGGTAATTATATGGTTACTGTTGTTCCACGACTATTATATTATCCTTCTATTGGACTCATTGTTTTCATATTTTCATGCGTATAGAGAGTTAGACGAGCGAGATAGGCTGGGTATGACTGAATGTATAAGACATAATCTGTTTACCGCTTACCCAGTTAACGGAGACAAGCCGGATGCAGTCATAGCCCATTTCAAGTTGACTGCTCTTGTGACTCCATATAATACTGTTAGGATAACTCTACCACAAACGTTGCCATATATTCATTCTGACCTGGCAATACCAAATGACTCTGATGTAGCGAAAATATTGTTCACGGGAGACTAGGCATCAAAAAATATTATTCAAGTATTGATGAATTTTATTTAGAATGCTTAGTATTATTCCAATATATTGGATATATTTACAAGTTTTAACACAACACCTTTTATACATTTAAATTCTAGTTCACATCTTATGAAGAATACCGTAATTCCTCTTGTCTATGAATATAGATATTATCACATATCGAAGAAAGGGACCATGTAAATATTATCATAATGGCCGACTAAATACCTTCTCCGCAATAAGTATGGGCGAAATGCATTGATTAGCAGGCTTACCATAATGATATGGATATTCGTTAATGGTGCCCAAGTATTTTAGTAGACATCTTATGGTAACTAAACGTATATACCGGATTACGTGGACATTACCAACGAAAGTCTATTCTATGACACCAAGGAGGGCCAACCCAACGAGAAAAACTGCCATCGATGTGATGAGCATTCTATAACTTGTTGTTGGGATCCCCCACGAAGGAAGACAATTTGCCCAAATGACATAGAGTGTTGCATGTAGGATAGCAGCAGCATACACAAGTGTGGATGAACTATATATCCAGCAGCTTAATCCAATATTTAACATAGTTGTAGACAGCGTCCACATGACACCCCACCAGGCAGATAATGTATTTAATGGCTTGCCCAGAGTATCTTCTATAGCATCTCTTGCTTTGAAATCGGTGTCAACGTCTTCTTTGTATAAGCGTATTTCCTTGAAATGTCGTATGATGTAGCAGATAGCTTCTGCTGATGCCCAGCCTAATCCAAGCCAGTATGCAAATAGAAAGTCCGTCTCAGCAAAGTTTAAGAGGATTAATTCAAGCCTAATAGACTCTTCGAGGATTCCAAATGTAACATTAAGGAATAACGAATTTGTAGACAGCTGCCTCCTAAGCAGTGTTGAAAACAGCCAGTCGACAGGCTTTATGAGTAGACGTGCGGCTGTCCACCCGGCTAGCCCCATGCATAGAGAATCCCATTGGAACGAATGCCAGTAGACCGTCGGCAGAACGAAAAGCGATACCGCAAGAATGATAAACGGTGTTGCAACACAATGCTCCTTGAATAGCGTTTTGTAGTCTTTCTCCGGCTCATAATCATCGTAGTCTTCATCGTCGATATACGCCGGATAACTGTAAAAGGAGACATAAGAGTTTTGGGAATGCGTAGTATCTGATGCCAAAGATGGTTGTTGAGAATGATGATTATTGCCGTCCACGCTGATAACAACCGAGCCGTAGTCTATGGGTTTTGTAATACGTAGACGTTCGAAAGACATTTCTATGTGTAGTTTGTATGAAAGAGTAAGTTTGCGATAAGGAGTTTTTTTTTGGTTTCCGCGATGTGTCCTTATAACTTGCGTTATATAGGTGTGGTGCAATATTCCCTGGCCAGTAGGAAATTATGATGTTTAGATCATCATACATTGTTACACTGCATTATCAGTGATAAATAGATGGTTGTTCGTTCATTGTTTGTGCGTATAATATCATGTGATTAAGAGAATCTCCAGGGAATGATTCATCTGATAACGAGCATTTTATATAAGATAGCGTGCTAGTATTTATAGCTGAGAAGCTGTTGTCAAGACCAATTGGTTGAAATAATTATTATAGTGTGCAAGGCTGTTCAATGCATATGAGGTGGCGTCACTCCATTAGAACGCCCGCAGAAATATTTCATGTTGTACACAGTGTATATATGGTCGTTGTAATGGCCAAGTATATTATTACCGAATCTTATCAAAATCAAAATTGTCTCGCAGTCATGCTTTCTGTGAGAAATAACAACAATCGTGAGGTATCGTGAGATACCGTGAGAAATTTAGCATAACACAATAAAGTGCACCTGAATTTCGTCATCCCCGTTTCCTATGGTGTTAGTTTGCATGCTTGCGTTTTCCCCTCTTGAACTGACTGCTAATATGCATAGACTTGTTGCTATTCTTTGATATCTGAAACACATTTCGACTATCCATGACTACAAGTTTATTGGTGTGGCTTTTGAAGATGATGTAAACTACTTGTCATTAAATGGTTTCAACGGAGTGGTCGGACATTTGAGAATCCGTCACTCAATCCTATCTGTTGTTTTTTCCCTTGCTCTTTTGCGACTGTGGTCAACTCAAGACTAGAAGCCCGACGACAAACAATTCACCATTAGCGGCTTAACGACATCCAGTCCCCAAAGGAAAACCTTTATTAGCCTTGGTGTAATACTATGGGAAATATCTGAACTGGAACGAACCCCTTACACTGTTACACAAAGTATAGCTTATGCAGTTTATGTGCCGAAAAAGAAACGCTTCATAAATATAACAGATGGCAAACGGTGCGGTAATATGGATATTGTTCACTTTAGAGATGGTGATCATATCGCAACGGGCCCGGAATGCCTTAGCATGGTACGGGCTTATTTACTTATTTCTTACGTGCTCGAATATTTACGCATCTTTTTTGCCTCACCTTATAGTACATTTCTGCTAAACTTTTTACGTGCACCTCAATATTTTTGGCTAGGTAGTGGCCTTATAACCGAAGTCGAGAGCGTACGGAAAGAATTGGAAACGAAATTGAGAGCGTACAGATCGAATTAAAAATACTGCCATTCCGCGGGTAAATAGTAGTTGGCTTAAAAGTTCATAATAGATCGACTTGCAGTATGGTAAGAACCAGTAATCTTCACGTGTTACCAAGGATTTTTCGTAGAAAATGGCATTCGGACTTTCAACGTCGTAGTAATAATAATAACCACAAAAACTAAAGATTGAATTAATGCTGTTATCAACATAGGGAATTTCCACATAATATCGTACGGCGATAACGATAACATTATTGATAATATATAGGATACCAATCTTAATCTCAGTATTAGTATTTCCTCCATACAATTTCTGGTGAATCTTCAATTTAGTATTAGTTCCAAACAATCTTGATAAAATATATGCATCTTCCTAGCATCTTCCTTATCATTACTAAAATAAAATACATACTAATAACGACAAGTACCAAAGCACGTTAGACTCCAAACCAACGAAGGATAAGCATTAAATTTGGATGGGCGATGTCTTCACCAGTGGATGGTGTAGCTTTGTTAATAGAAAAATGGGGTGAATGGCTAGTGATCTAAGATTTACATTAAAAATAAAGGTTTGTATTCAGTAATTATCGGGTTTGGACATTAGTATGAATCTAGCGTGCCCCGTATCCTAATATTAATAATACTTTTATGTTGAATAATTGAGTTCAGGCATTCCAATTACAATTCTACATTAATGATTTTATCTCTTAAATGATGTTGTTTATGATATTCCAATAAATTCGACAGAATGCCAATTCTATTATTAATCTTACGTTCTTCCATCATCTTTTTCATCTCCATGGCCTCTCTCCCCCTATCTTCGCGAAGATATCCGATAATTAAATTATAGAATGAGAATGCATCTGGATGAAGTCTATGATTATTCTGCATATCATAAAATAGTTCAACCGCCCTATCCAATTGCCGATGCTTAACATGAGCACGAATGAGAGTATTGTATGTATAGAGCATAGGTTGAAGCTTTTCATCTATCGATTGACGGAACAGTCGATTTGCCTCGTCGAAATTTCCCGCAACGTTCAGATAACCATCTATTAATACATTATAAACTGTAATGTCAGGTCGTGGATAACAATACTCTGGTTTTACCATCTTGTCGAACAACTCACGTGCTTTTTCTAGTTCGTGAGAAGACACATAATATCGAATGATAGCATACAACGTACGCACGTCAGGCTTCAACTTCCACTCGCGCATCATCTCAAGTACACTGAACACTTCCGTCATATTACCCTGTTTCAAATGACCTTCGATAAGTGCATTGCAGGTAATTAAATCGCCAGGAAAACCTCTTGCTAACATATCGTTAAATACGTGCATAGCCTTCAACAAGTTAGCCTGATGCACGAATCCCTTAATGAGAAGATTATATGATCTTAGCGATGGCAGAACGTTTGCTGCCAGCATTTGTTCATATACTTCAAATGCGGCCGTACACCAGCCACTCTTCAATGTAAACTTGATTACTATATTATAAACCCCTCTGCTACATTTAATCTGCCGCTTGCATACTTTTTTATATAAAAGCCACATCCCACGCGTGTCATTTACTTGACCAAGGCCCTCGAACAAACAACCAATAGCGCGAGCGTCTAATGGAATATCACTGTCTGTCACGTTTCTAATTGAGTATCGGCCACTCTGTTGACGTGCTTGTCTCATCAATTGATTATTCATTATTAGCGAGTACGTTATAACTGATGGTACAATATTATGTTGATTCATGATACGGAACACATGCCATACTTTGTTCATATCCCCGCGAGCGACGAACCCTTTAATCAATGTATTAAACGTAACAACGTTCGGCCGAATACCTTTGGCCACCATATCGTCCAATATCTTCCATGCCATTTCTATGTTGTTTGCATCGCAAAGGCAATCTAATAGGCGATTATATGTCCATAGATCAGGTACATATCCATCAGCAATTATATTATTGTAGCAATCGAGAGCTCCTTTCTCTAGTTCTCGGTTGCATGCCAACTTATCCAGTATTTTCTGGTGACATATGGGATGGATAGGACCCTGCGTTTTTAATAGACGGTATGCCGCTTCTACCTTCCGAGCAGAAATTTTACGGATTGCCTCTCCAAGTTTGAACCGTATACCGGATTGGGCGTCGTGTCCAGTCACAATGCCTTTAAGTGCAACTTCATTGTAGAACGATAATATTAAATGTGGATCTCTTTGACTCTTAAGCCTCGCTCGGATCTCTAAGTGAACCTCAGAAGGGAATTTTGTTCCAACTTCTAATAACTTCAAATACTTGTTTATCGTTAAGAATAAATGTTTGTGTTGCATTATGTGAAATTTTTGTAATGGGGATCTTCACATTTCAACCCCCAATTTCTGCTCACATGACAGCATGGGTAACTAATTATCTGAATTAAAAAAGATTATTCAGGTGTAAGTATAAGGTAACCTGTAGCAACGAGTGGTATAACCCAAGGGTAAGACGCAAAAATAGCTAAAACAATCTGACGTCGACTAAGCCAGAATAACGGATGCCGACAACATTACTCAACGTTTGTATAAACGGTTGGTTTGGATTAAATATAAATGGGAAATATTTCTCACACTTTTATATATTTATTATCAACAATACACAAATAGTTAAGCAAAACTATTAGCCTTTTGATTAACAGAAAAACAGCAAAGGCAATACTACGGTCGAGACTTTAGTGTAAAGAACAAATTCCGAGTCTGCAGTAATTGTCTAGCGCGTGCATATCTACATTAACATTGGCTTTATAATTTCCTTCCCGCTAGAAATATATATTTTGTATTTGTATTATTACAAATAAAATTTGGTCTGCTAGAACAACTGTATTACTATAATATAAATACTCACTGCCTGACCAAAAATGTTAAGGTGTTCTAATGATGCTGCCTGTCTGCCACGTTTTCTTCTTCTCTCTGCATCGGGTTTTCATTGATTCTCTGCCAAAAGCCAAAGGATAATAATAATAATAATAAGCAATAAACGCAAACTGAAGTGGAATAAACTTTAAATGACAAATTTAAAATTGTGACTGATTATTATTATGATGCAGCCATAGATGAAATGATCTACATCGTATTTCTAAATAAATCGAACACAGTAAAAGAAAATGAATCATTTCGCATTAGACTCGCATTCTGCTGTCAAAAATTCATTTAACTCATCAGAGAGCTTTGAAGAGCGAAGTTCACATCTGGAACAATTGTTTATGAATCTTCTAGTGCATGTATTATTATTTATTACTAGCAAAGTCGACAGATACAATAGCGCAGATGAAAATATTTCGCGCTCAACAATATACAGGATAACGAACGAACGAACGATGTCCTTGTAAGCAGATAAATTATCACTGAAAATCCTTAAATATATTATACTTAAATATAGACCAATCCAATCTAAACGTTTGATGCCCGCTCCGACACATTCTCCCGAGCTAAAAGGTTCTGAGATTTCTTCCACTTCAACATGTAACTTTTGACAACGTGGATCGATCCATCCAAACTTACATGACTGGATAAATCGGGTAAACCTTCTTCACTCCTTCCGGAACTATTAGATGCATCGCTTATTACCTTTTTGCCCTCTTCTAACAGTTGCCGGGCACGCGCTGTGTTTTCACTCCACTCTTTCATGCGCTTACTCGTTTGCTCTTTAACTTCTTCTAAAGTGTTGCCAAGAAGATTGGGACCGTCTCTTAATGTGAGGTGACAATATTCGAGCTTGGATTTTTGGAAGACAAACAGCGCGTGTATTTGCAGGCTATGATTGTAATGGATAATCTTTATAAATATATTCCTCGATATTGTCTCAGTGTAAATAAACTAGGATAAGCATGTGTATATTTACCAAATCCCTTTTAGCTTTTCCTGCTTCAATTTTGAACACATAGAAGTACTATATTTTATGACTTTCTCACACTTGTCAAGTTCCGCCGCCGACAACATTAAATCAAGATGCTTTTCTACGAGAGATAGAGTTTCCAAGTATGTTATCATTGCGTGTATCCAATGCCACAGCCCTTTAACGTTGGGGGCAGCTTTGGCTTCACGAACATGATTTGCAGCTGTTCCTTCCAATGATTTCATACGCTCTTTCGAGTCTACACGCTGAGTCTTATTGTCCAATGTTCGAATAATAGAGTTCGGTGTTCTATTGGAGTTATTTACTGAAGGTGGCTGACCTTCGACAATTAAGCCATTTGGTGGTGGATTTGAGGTGGCAGCTCTAGCGTTTGGTGTTGATTGTGTCTGCGGGGCTTGTGGCGTCTGAGGATTGGCTGCATTTCGCTTTTTGTACTCTTCAAGCGACAATTTTGATTTTGTAGCATTGGACGCATTGGACGCATTGGACGCATTGGACGCATTGGACGCATTGGACGCATTGGACGCATTTCCAGTAACGCTGACATCTTTACTATCGTTTTTAATACTACTAGCTTTCGCGTTAGCGTTGTGGCTAGAGCTAGCAGTGCCATTAGTGTTGGCATGAACTTTACCGCTTGTATCGTCGCTAACATTTTTATCTCTGTTGATGTTAATATTCTTGTCTTCATCATCAATGTTCTTGTCTTTATTGGGATTATTTTTGTTGCTGCTACTATTGTTATTAGTCTCCACTGAAACGGTGTCAACTTTCCCTTTATGCGCTTTTGAAATCGCGCTTGCTGCCTTCAACCTCTTTGATTCACGGTTTCCTTCCCGCAAATCTGTTGTATCTCGAGTTCGCTTAAGTGGTATAGTGAGCTTTATAATAAATGACTTTTGATCATCCGGGAAGATAAACGTCGGTTGGTTAGACAAAGATGTCTTATCCGACGATGTTATTCGCTTCGCATTGCTAACTACTGTTTTCACGATCTTCTCAATTTCCTGCTGTCTCCTCTTAGGACTTTTTAATAATTTGCAGAGACGCCCAAATTTCTATATGATACGGGTAAATGAGCTTTGTGGTAAATGCATACGTCTTCACTAAGTAGAGAACAAATGATGTAGCTTACCCAAAGAAGTTCTTGTTTAAAATCTATCGAGGATCTGCGCGTTACTCTCTTCGTGCTGTGTATTGACGATAGCGTAATTAATGGTCATTTCTCATTTCAGTTAAAAATGTTAATTTATCCAGAATATAATCACTCACGCGTTCTTTGGAGCCGCAACCCGTGCCTCTTGCACGACCTTAACCCCTTCCTTAGACGACGGAACGTCTTGTCTGTCCTTCATCAAACTTTCTTCCGTTTCAGTCTTGATTTTTGGTGAGGTGGTTTGGTATGGTTGATACCTTCCAGCGGTTCTTGGCGGCACAGGCCGCGCTACTGATGCCTGGCGTTGTTGATGTGATTGTTGATGAATTTGCTGTGGCTGACGCTTTAGTGACGAATTTTGTTGTTGACGTGGTTGTTGCTGTGGTTGTGGTGGCGAAGGTTGTTGTAATTGTTGTTGTGGCGGTTGTGGTTGTGATTTTTGTGGTTGTGGTGGTTGTGGTTGCGATGGTTGCGATGGTTGTGATTGTTGTGATTGTTGTGATTGTTGTGATTGTTGTGATTGTTGTGATTGTTGTGGTTTTTGTGGCTTTTGTGGCTTTTGTGGTTTTTGTGACTGTTGCAGCTGTTGTGGATTTTGAGGTTTTTGTAATTGTTGTTTCTGTGATTGTTGTTGAGCCTGCAGCTGTAGCTGCTTCTGTTGCTGATAATGGAGCTGTTTTTGTCGTTGATGATGTCTATAAGCCGACCGGGGGGGAATGTCCTCAGGACGTAACTCGCTTGCGGCCGGAGAAGTAATGAGAATCGATTCACGATCAGTGTGTGGAACAGGGACAACCGGCTCGGCGAGATAAGATCCCCACTCGTCGTATGCTCCCCAAAACTCGCTCCCGTTGTGCGTCAGTTGCATAAAACTACGTACGTAACCCGCTGGTCCATCGGGGCGCACCCTAAAGCGTTATGGTTATATAGCAGAGGAAAAGATAAGGAAACGCATGAAGAACAATCAAGAGTATAATAGTTTGTATGTTACGATTAAGTAGACATATCAGTTCGTGTGTAGTTGGAAATAGAATATAATCAGAAGAATAAATACACTGTTTGTCATAAGTCCTTCTTTCTAGTGCGTAAACATAGAAAAGAAACTTTCTATATGATAAATAAATATTGCTTTGTAGGTTGGCGAATAAACTTTGTCTGAAGATGTTTCCTTATTATGTCTATTCGTTGATATCTGCTACTATACTTCGGCAGTATTAGTTGACTAGTTGTCCTGAAATGCCAACATTGACTTTTTACCACAGTTTGTAATTTGCTGCTATTCTATAAGGGGATCGCTGTCTTGCGAGCAGTAACTCTTGCCATGCAGATACTTCGTATTCAACGACATACCTCTGTATAGCACCGATGACAGGTGCAATTCGGTCACTGAAAGAGCGCAGGAAATCCGCTTCTTGACGAAGATCTGATCTTGTACGAGACCTTGCAGTGGAAGCCATGTTTTGGGAGTCTATAATAATAAGCGAAAGAACATCTTTGAACCATAAGTTTTATAAGTTCACACGTGACCCAAACAGCATAGAACGTGAATGCCAAGGGGCAATCATTTCATGTGACCCACGTGTAACTGAATAAACAATACATAAAAATTTCCATAGTAATAGTAATAAAAGTGTTGGGACGTTCTACATAAACGTGTTCTATTACAGTCAATTTCAATGCCTTCAAATTTTCAGTACCGATTTGGGTATGGCAATAAAATGGCAAGCATACGCTTCTTCTATTCATAAGTTACAAGACGGACTGTAATGCATGATGCAAAAAGGAAATAAATACTTTTACTCTGTTTTTCGTCAGCATTGTTGTATACCTCAACAGATCGCATTAGAGGTAAGACAGACTAACTCTAAAATTTTCTTCACTTTCTTTTTTTAATTTTTGCAATTATTACTTAATGAACTATGAAACCATGAGTTGTCGAATTGATATGGAGGTTATTTGTATTCTATATATTCCACTTTGCGATACATCTCCATCATTTCTGAAACGCGTGAAGATTTGGACAGAAAGGCGAAGAGCACCACGACTGAACAAAAAGGATATGAAGTGTAAAATAAATATTGTCAAAAAGGTAGTTCCCACTTTGCTCCGAAGCTTTATTTCCCTTTCTAAGCGCCTTATAATTACAGGATACATTTTTTCCTTCAGGGATTAGAGGGTACTGGTACAACGTCACCGATCGCCCTTTTCCTTACAAGGGTTGCATTAATTTAAGGTTTGAGTATAGTTTTGTTAATAATCACAAAGTTTAAATCGATGAATTGTGGATGCTCGGGCCTTTCTTTATTAGAAAGAAACTAAGCCGGGTGTAATAACATTTGGCAACAGCGTTCGTCTATGTTGAGAATACAGGATCTCAATACTAAGAATTGTTAGATGTGCTACATGATAATTGCTCTCTTTATAGTGACATCCACTACATAGTTGTATATAATAATAAAGCAAGGGGGCTTTCGTTGTTCATCGTAAAATAATAAAGAACGATAGAATAAATGATATTCGCTATAGTGTACATCACATGATATATTATTAACGACACTATAACGATAAGATAGGGTTTCTTTTTATGGATAGTGTAGAAACCTATTGATTTTTTGTCTCTACTATAAAGAGTAATTACGTTTGGCAACGCGGTTAAGTTTCGTATTATATAATTTTTCTAATTTCATTTTCATAAGGAAATACACCAGAAAAGAGGATTAGCGATCTTGTTCTGAGAATGTATCTGGAATGCAAAGAAAAACATCACAAACAATTGGTTTAATATGAGGTAATTATTTACTATCTGAATGAAAGCAATTGTTTGATCGAAAGAATCATTCAGCTTGGCAAAAATAGAATTTGTACACAAGCCCAAGTTGAAACCGTACTTTTGTGTCGAAGATCTTACACCAGGGGGGATGCGCAATTAATATTAAGACATGCGGGAACAAGAAACGAAGAGATCAAAAGACGTGGTTTGTTAAAATTAGAACCCTTGAAAATCTTATCCTTCATCACATTACTGCTACAAAACAACAATGATTCATAGTCATGCAAGAGAGTTTCTGTCAAAAGTATTTTGTGAACAAGAAGCAGAGGAAAAACGAAGTAACGTGTTCGTCACCTTGACATATGCACAAAGTTTAGACGGAAAGATAGCCGGAGAAGGTGGTAAACAGATTTTATTAAGCGGGGAAGAAAGCATGGTTATGACTCACAGGTAGAGTAAAGGTTGAAAGAATATAAAATCATATGGAAAATAATAAAGCATTGCATGGCATGTAGAATGCGTACAAAACATGATGGAATACTTGTAGGAATTGGGACTGTGTTAAGCGATGATCCAAAGTTAACAGGTTTTATTATTGATTATGAGTGTCTGGTTTGCAACTTCAGTCCCCTGCTCATATAATTGTTTCCCATTTCAAATACTTTGTATTTTTACCAGCACGCCGACTTGAGCCAGGAGAAGAATCAACTATATCACAACCACGACCAATCATTCTTGATCCAAAACTCAAGTTTCCTCTGAATGCCAAACTGCTAAATAAAGATGAATCCAACGAAAATAAATCTCACCGTAAGACGCCGTGGATATTTACACAACATAAGCATGACATAAAGAAAAAACTGGTAGCCTTTTTTATCTATGTAGCATCTGTATTGCCTGTGTTGGTAGGAGGATATGACATAATAAATTTTATCAAACTTTTATGTAACAATTAGCTACTAGAGCAAGCAGGAGCAAAGATCCTTACTATAGATTCTGATGAAAACGGTAAGTTTTCTTTCTCTCGCCTTCTAGTCTTTCAGATTCTTGTACGATCATTTATAACTATGTATTCAACTATAGGCTACCTCTCTCTAAGCCAGTTATTAACTGTGCTTTCCCGACCACCACTGTCAATATCACGTTTGATGGTAGAGGGAGGCGCGAAAATCATTCAGTCATTTTTCAAAAGTGGTTTGGTAGATTTGTTGATTGTAACGATTGCACCCGTATACGTTGTTCGTGGGATATCTGTTGTCGATGAAGAGAATCAAGGAAAAGGAAGGATTGATTCGCCGAGTAAGGTAGGCATTCTCAAAACCAACGAGTTGTCGTCAAATGAGTGGTAGATAGATCGACTTTTTTGTTGACAAGCCATTTTATTATTTTATTAACGTACAGGATATAAAGTTTATACAACGTGAAGTACATTATGAACAGTTTGGAAGAGACGTTGTTATGGCTGTTGCATTGACAAATGGATTAATAGAGAATGCAGAAGGGGAATAAGAATTTGTTATTAACTTGTATATGAGTTTAGAAGTAAAAATACATAATAAATTCTAGTATATATAATATAGTCCTATAAGCGATGAATTTAGTTCCTTTACAAAGTCTATGATGATCAATACAAAAGACGAGAAATGACTTTCCGTGTATGGAAAACCTCTATTTAGACTTTGTCATGGACATAATCTCCACCCAAATCTCACCAAACATTGGATAGTCCTTTGGATTACACAGAATCTCCTTGAATCCTTTCGTATCCTTCACTTTTGAGAAATTTGCGACTACATAGTCTAGAATATCATTTTTCAAATCGTCCCATTGTGCCGCCATACCAAATAATATCATCGCACAATTTTCTACGTCCAAATTATCCCATATTTCGATCTTGGCCCTATTGCGGAGTTCGTATATGAAGTATTTATCGGCTATAGCGTAAAGTTCAATCGGCGTGCAATGAAGGTCAGGATCTTCTTCAAATTGAACTTGGTCAGTGTACTTGTTAAGATTAAAATAATACGATTAGTATCGATCAAGTGTACCTTATCTGACAGTCTTCCATAATGCTCGGAATTTACTTACCAAAAATCTCAACATCTCCATAAAAGTCTTGTGATGAAAGTCATTGATATCTACAAGATATTTGTATTTACTCGGTCTCCCTTGGAAACTCCTCACGCTATCCACGCTATCCCTCTTGCTTTGATTCTTATCAGGTGCCCATTCCTCTTCAAACATATATTTCAAGTAACGACATCTCTGTGACAATATGGCGGAATTGGCATATACAAAATGACCAGAAAGATTAAACCTCACATCTGCAGTGGCTGGATTATCTACTTGTTCACCCCACGCTTCGATCAAGTCGTTAGGAATACTGGGACCGGGTAGAGCATTGTGGTGAGATTTTGATGACATCTCAGAGTGATCGAATTCGACACCGATTATTACTTGATCAGAGGATGGGAGAGAGGACATTGGGCAAAAGGTAAAGTGACCTTTTGAAGTAAGGAAGTGAATAATAAGTAAATAATAAGTTTGGGACGAGATGATGAGAGTGAGATGAGAGCATGACAAAAGAACGCGCAGATTTATATCTATGATCCTGAGATGATGCTCACCCCAGCTCGGTTCCTTTAGATTAAATTCATGTTCAATAGGTTTCTTTTCAATGATCTCGTTAGTATCTGGATCTTTCAGATAGATATATGCTTTGTAAGGCTTCCTCTTGGGCCATAATAGACTCCTGCTTTCTTGGTCATTTGGAATAGCCGTCAGAAAAAAACAACAATGGTCTGGATCATGTTCAAATGACTATTTGCAATTAGACAACCACATGATTAGTTATAAATAACGATGTTCATCAATCGTGATAGATTACTCATACCGCGATAAATTCCAACTCCCAGAACGTGTCTGGAGTAGTAGCTATTGGAGGAGAATATACAGCAGCAGACAGTTTAGATACATGACGAATCAGATATTCCGAGGCACATTTCCCAGCCAGAACCGCCATATCGGATACATTTGAACTGTATCTGCCTATGCCCGTAAGTGGTTTTGGGTCTGTCATGTTGCGTCAAATAACTGCTGAAGCGGAGAAGACAGTATTCGAAAAGAGCTATGTATCAACACGTTCTGTTAATTAATATCTCTGTCGATATATCGAGAATTTAAGACCATGTATGGTATAGTCTACTACACCTTCCTATATCAACAATTACAGTACATGTGATACGACGATCAATCAACGGCTTTTATTGAAACGAACGCAGAAGTCGAATCAATGTCCCGAATATTGAGACTTGCTCTGCTTCTAGCTGATACGCCAGCGCCATCTATAGTTTCTAAACAGGGAGACTATCGGGTTCAGTTTACTAGATTCTTACAATCTTCTATTCAAAAATATAAATTAGATGTAAGATTAAAAATAGATCCATATGATGTTGTTAACGAAATGGCGCTTCCAACAGAGGAAGGGTTAAAAGATATTGACGGAATTATGATTACTGGATCAGGTGGAGTTACAATACAGTATTAGAATTTAAAAAAGTAATTCATACTGAATATGTATATTTGTCCATCCAGCTGCTAGTGCATACAGTGACGTGCCTTGGATAAACAATTTAACTGACTTTATGAAACATGTCATAAATAACCATCCGAGGGTGAGGATTGTCGGTATTTGCTTTGGACATCAAATCGTTGCAAGAGCAATGGGAGGAAACGTAATAAAAAATCCACTTGGTATGGAGGTAAATAGTCAAGCCTATGTAATGCTTTAAAAATGTGTGATGTAGTCCACGTCAGTTTATCGCAGGACTTTGCAATAAATCGTGTAGCTCGCAGTCACTGAATTTGAGTTAACAGAAGATGCAAAACAATTCTTCAAGACAAATCGAAACGGCATTGTGAGTGTTCTCTATTTAATATCATTCTGGATAGAATTGACAAGTGATTTTTCTGACTCTCTTTTTGATCCGTAAGAAAATACAAGAAATGCATCAAGATTACGTTTCAGAAATTCCTCCCAATTTTGTTAACCTTGGCTCAACGTCAATGTGTTCAGTCCAAGGCCTTCTAAAGCCATCGCACGTTCTTACCGTACAGGGACACCCTGAATTTACTGCCGCGGTTGTCAAGGGAATCTTAAAAGCACGTGGTGAGATAGGTGTGTTTTCTCCAGAAGTGGTTGAGAAATATTCGGCTCGTGCTGAGCTCGAACATGATGGAATATGGTTAGGGTGAGTCTTCCTCCATAGTGTTAACTTTAGATGCGGCCAATTCAGTAACTAAATGGCTATTTTGCAATATATAGAAAGACGTTTATTGAGTTCATATTGGATGGAGAAGTAAAAGCTGATGACGAAACCGAGGACGCGACATGTCATATGTAATGGTATATCCGACTGCAAATCCTGTTTATATATTAAGAATCTCTGATATTTCTAAATTACAAATACGCTATGTAATATTACTGTTCAACTCGTATAAATTCTTTATCCATTTCATTCCAAATTTCATGAATGATAAATTCTATTAAGTTTAAACCCTTTCCATCTTCAGCCTTGTAGATTTGTTGGAACATGCTATACGAGTTTGATAAATGATAGTCAAAACTAATAGCACATGTCTCAAAGTTGGAATTTCTGTTTAGCAAATGTAATCGAGATTTATTAGTATGACTGTTCATGATAACAAAGTATCAATAATATTTTACGAACCCAGTGATCTTGGTGCGAATAGAATGTCCGCGTCTTCGCGTACTGAATGCGAGTATCTCCAAATCATTGTTTTGTGTATATTTAATGTCATAGGCTATTCTATCAATAGTCAGGATATCTATTATAGAATGTCATTGCAAATTAGTCATCGCATACCTAGCTCAATTTAGCGTTTGTCTATTACCTTGTACTGACTGGGTCGCATTCCCTTTTTGAACATCCTGACATTTTGTTAATTCCGAGTACCACTGCAAGACCAGAGACCGTTGACCGTTTTTCTGATATGCATGTTCAATCACAACTATGAAAATGTTAATGACACAACTGTTGAGACAAATCACCAATGTTCTCTCATCTACTCACATGGGAGTTCGAGCATCATGTTGCTCATGCGCGTTACATAGTCGTTAACTGACTTTTTCTGGTCACCATCTTTCGTTTTAGTGATATGATTTTTCAATAAATCATTTACGAAAGAAGAATCTTCACCATTAGCATTTTTTATGCAAGTCAATATATCATATTTTTGGGAAGTTTGCGTCATGTACAGATATTTCTACAAAGGCATTGGTCTGGACAGATTACTTTTCCGTTGTAAAATACATGGAGCTGTGTTTCATATACCTTATGATAGTCCTTCTCTAGCTCATCTAATGATCTAGAGGCGTTTGCACTGTTTTGCGTAAGCGAGCCTGATGATAACTTGTTAGGGTAAAATATCAGCTGCCACTCTCTATTGCAACATTGTTAGTTTTCTATCCTTAGCCCACATACTTGTGACATGGATTTTAATTTCTGTTTGATTTCTTTTCCTATTTCCAGCACTTCATTTTGGGCTTTTTGAAATTCCGACCAAATTTCGTCCATAATAATAAGAACGTGTTTTGGTGAGTCCTTCAATTTTTGGAATTACACGTAAGCTTACAGATTCGGTCATGTTCTATCTTGTTATTGGTTTACGCTAATGTCTATCGGTATATATTCCACCGGAATTATAATTATTTGTCACACAAAATTACGAGAACATTTTTGCTGAGTCTTCATCGATGCGTATATACGGAAGCCCAAAATATCGAGTTATCTACTTATATCTTCTACCGTTACCGAATGGATCGAAATTTGTCGCTTTTCGAGCCTGTGATTATGTCATCAAGATACTTGAAAACTAAATACTTATATTGGATTTGAGTTTTATTACTGGTTTCGAGTGATATATATAGAAGGTTAATCTCATGTGATATATAAAGGTTAATCTCTATATTTTGTTTAAATATTTCTAGATGCAAAGGAACTTTATCGGCAAGATCACTACATCGTACGTTTGATTTTCTTCCTACCATTCATTTTTTTACTTACCACTACCTTCCCTTTCTTCTGATCTCCCTTTTCAGTTGCCTCTTCTATCACTATTTCCTTCGACTTCTCCTTAATTTTTCCCTTATCCTTCGCCTTTCCTTTAACCGTTTTCTTCACTTCTGTTGTCACTCTCTTCTTTACCTTTGTCTCCACACCCTCCCCTATATCACCATCGTCGTCATCATCGTCATCATCGTCATCATAGTTATCATCATCGCTGTAGTCGCTGTTGTTGTTGTCGTCGTCGTCGTCGTCGTCGTCGTCGTCGTCGTCGCCATCATCCCCATCGCCATCATCATAGCCATCATCATTGTCATCATCATCATCGTCATCGTTATCCATATCATCGTTCTCCCCTGCATGTTGTCTTTTTCTACTAGACTGGTTCGCAACACCCGTATACGTCTCTTCATTTGGTAGTGAATTATAGATTGGTAAACTTATTGACTCGTTTGTCTTAATATATAATGCTCGCACATTTTGCCATTCTCCCGGTATCTTTGCTATAATACATGGGACTGCTATTTCCAAGTTGTCAGTTACTTGTTCTGGTATCATTTCTGTTGTTGCTACTTTCACAGCACTAGTATAATATTGAAATAATTAGCGAGTAGTCGAAAAGGGTTGACACAAAAAGTTATTGCCCAAATGAGACGTACAAACATGTTCCTGGACTGATATGCATGTAAGTAGACGTACACGCTTTGTCAATTTCTGCTTTAAGATCCTTCACCCCCATCCGAACAGAAATCGGCTGCCTGCACAGCAGTGAAATAATTATTAAATAGAATCATAAAACTGTTGGACAACAAAAAAACATCTTTATGTTACTTGCTTCTTCCGCTTGAAGAAATATTTCCCTAACAGCTTTGGAAGAGATACTATGATTTTATCATCAGCCAAGAACAATTCATAGCCATCGCATAGTTTTCGTTTCTTTTCGGGTGAAGCAAATTTTTTACGCAATTTCTTTAGTCCAATAACCTATTAACCGTGAGATATTGAAAGAATGATGAAAATGCAAAGCGGAGACAAAACCGATTAAACCGTCTGTCTTACCTTATCTATCTTTGTAACTTCCTTTTCCTTGAGCAGTTTTTTGTATTGAGATTGAGGGTCTTTTGTAAACAAACAAATTTCAGCGTCAGCTTCATAGATCGGGTGTTTCAAAGGTCTGCAGGAGAGAAAGTCTTGTTATTATTCGAAAGAACTGGCACTATTCATAGTTCATATGATTTATATAGGAACACAATACATTCTGGCGGGCCTCGCTACCGCATCCTCTGAAAACGTATGTGTTGCAACGATGAGCCATACATATTTTCGATCAATGATCAATTGCTTTTCTTGTTCCTGCGCTTTATGCACATGGTCTAACAGTGCAATTGCAGCTTTTTTTGTCTATATTGTATATAATTCGAGTTATTGACGATATTATCATACGATGGCTTTTATACGAGTGGGTTATATTTCATACCTGCTCCAAGTCCAGTGTAATGTCCATAACAGCAAATGTGATATGAATTAGCCGAAAATAAGCACCCTTTTAACTATAAAGGGTTCTTATTTTTGGAGGTTACAACTTTGTAATACAGGTAAATATTTTGGGTGTGCTTATTATTATTTTCGGGGTGGTGCTTATTTTCGGTATTGCAACTTGTGTAATAGTAATTGTCGATCTCGTGAATCGACCGTTGCGATAATCGACAGGCTCGATTACTAATCAAGTGTTCAGACTCGGATTGTAAAGCAAGCGTTTTCAAGAGGCAGACATTACAGAAACTTAAAATGCCAAGCGCCAAAATTGCTCCTTCGGTTCTCTCAAGTGATTTTTCACAACTTGCTGCAGAGTGCAAGCGCATGGTTGAAGATGGCGCAGATTGGCTACATATGGGTGAGTATGAGACAATCTATATTACAACAAGTGAAGGATATGGACTAATAAGGACATGTTCCTTGCAGATGTAATGGATGGGTAAGTTGTCTTATATTTCAAGCATAAGAGAAGATTGAGGAATGTAATCAGATAAACGTCTTCTCCAATTCTAGTCATTTCGTCCCTAATATCACAATTGGAGCGCCAATCGTCAAATCTCTCAGGAAGCATGTTGACACATTTCTTGGTAAGTTCGACCATTTTAGCATGCAAACTATCGTTATGTCAGACTACATCTACATTCATGTTTTGACAGATTGCCACTTGATGGTTACCGATCCTGACAAGGTAAAACCGGGGTGAATTGAAGTCAATCTCAATCTAGTTAAACTAATAATGAACCGTCATCCATATGGTAGTGGGTTGAAGACTTTGCAAAAGCTGGCGCCTCAATGTACACATTCCATATTGAGGCAGCAGGTAAGAAATAATAAAACTGTTGGTTGCGGGGGGTATTCCGTAATATTTACATCATTTCTTGACATAGGAAAAGATTCGCGGGCCCTTATCGATAAGATCCACAAACTCGGCATGAGAGCAGGTGTTGCTGTCAAGCCGAAAACACCTATAGATACCGTGTTTCCATTAGCTGATGTGATGGATATGTGCCTAGTTATGACAGTCGAGCCTGGTTTCGGTGGACAGAAATTCATGGGAGAGTGTATCGAGAAGGTAATTAATTGATTGCAACAACGCCATCTACATTAATAAATAATGATTTAACGCTTATTCACTTATTCCATGTACAAGGTTAAAGTGCTTCGTGAGAAATTCCCTGACCTCGATATCGAAGTTGATGGTGGTTTAGGACTTGATAATATAGATATTGCAGCTAATGCTGGAGCCAATGTGATCGTTGCTGGAACTTCGATCTTTGGATCTCCTGATCCTGCGGACACTATATCCAAGCTTCGTGCCAGCGTCGGGACTGCACAGGAAAAATTTCAAAAGTAATACCATCCAATATGGTGTAATTTATTTCATGACAGCGTATCTGCTTATATTTATTGGTAATATTGAGTGTAGTTACATGCTTGAATTCTTTTTATTTGAGAGTAAATCAAGCAATCCGTCTATAAACTCTTCTTAAATATTCACGTTGACCATGTTACACAAATCTGGTGAGCGGATTAACAACGCTTTTGGAAAATGTTTCGAGATATGATTTCGTTCTACTCTTCAATTTTCGTGCATATTGTCGAGCCAATCACTACGGGGAACGAATAGTAATTGACCTTAGCGAGAATTGGCTAACCTCTACTGCTAAATATATATTAGAACTGGCAAATACAGATACAATCCAAGGATTCTTATATACATCACCACTTCCATACTCACAGCTTTGTCAAATGTCCTAATGAGGCCGTTCGTATTCTTCTCTCTTTTTATTAACTTCTTTCCAATAGCCAGAAGCGGCTGATGACCTACCTTTCTTTGACAAAATAAAAAGTGAGCAATATGAAAAATAATGATTTTTTTAATGTCACAACAAATCATATAACAAATCATGGCGGGGATGGATCATACAAAAGTCAAACCAGCAGATGCTTTCTGCTGGTTGAAGTAAGGCCCGTGTCTCATGGCTTTACGGAACTACAGACTGTCGCACAAGAGTAAACCAGCGGATGCTGGGGACGCCACAGATCAAAAAGAATAATATTTCAGACCTGAAATCTTTATATGGCAATATTCGTGTTGGCTTTGAGCACACGATCATTATTGAAATCCTGTAAAATGGTGAAATTTGAAACATGCTCGTGTTAATGATTTGTTGTGAAAGTAGCCCGTTGTGTCAGGTATTGGTAAGGGTACACATACTGGCGAAAAGTATTATTAGTAAAGCAGAAAAAAACCTTTAATTTTGAAAATCTCTATTGTCTATACGTACTATGTAAGTCGCAGTGATTTTTGTACCGTTTTGAAGCCAATTGATTGTATTTTTCGAAGAAAAAAATAATAAACAAAACTTAAGTTGTCTACTGTAATGAAGGAGTGGTCCGATGAAGTGGCGTATTTTCTTACACATAAAAATGTTGTAAATATAACCAATTTGTTGTTTGAATACCTATGATTTCATATGTGTAAGCTTTAAACGATAACAGGACTGAATATGAATATGTCATTATTTTTTGAAAAATACAATCAATTAGTGCAAAATTTATAATTTCGTGTTTTATGTAATAAACTGTAAGTAGATTATGTTGCTAATAATAGCGGAGGATGGCTAAAGCGGAGTAGAACGTGACCTGCCCTTCAGTCGACTCCGACAAACAGCAAACAGAGTTTAGTCTTTTTACGAAGACTGGTAGACATAGACAACGTATAAATCGCGTTTCATATAGCGCAAATATAACATGGGAAGTCCAATGGTTTAGGACTAGCAGTTTATGTGCTGTACATCGATATGTTTACCTCACGCGATAATTTAAAATAGACAGTTCCGTGTTATTAGTAAAGATAGTCTCTGCAAAGCCTAATAAACAAGAATTAATTCAAAGAAACAAACCTCTATTCTACTCACATTGCCTGAGCGTTTCGGGTGTCGAACCCGTTATAGTGGATTAGAAAACATACCGAAAGTGAAGCTCGCGATATAAACATCTTGTATCGAACTTCGATATAACAGTATTATAACAAATTGTAACACCTTGTGATGTAACACAATAAACGTTGAGAATGCTCTCGCTCGCTCAGTGATTATAATTGAAAACTTCTTATTCAAACGATGTCGTTAGTTCCAGGGGTTGTTAATAATCCAGCAATCGACAACTTGGTTCAATCCTCCTTGAAAAGTGAATATGAATCAAGACTTGAATGGATTTCTTACGAGGAAATCGCCAACATAAAGCCAACTCGAATTTCCACCGTCCATTACGCTACTCACGGATACGGTGATGAAGTAATACTGTTATGCCTTGGAAGTAGCAAAGAATGTACGCAAACACTTGTGAATGAGTTTGCCAGAATATACTCACTTTCAACACACAAGTACAATAATAAAAGCGAAAACTTTAGAAGATATTCCACGTGGCTTTATTATCGCAACAGCATGATAAAAGGGTTCACCAAGTCTAATGACAAGTATTACATGGTTGCTGAAAAACGCTTTTACGATTGTTATTCTCGATATGGCTTCTGCACTGCATGTGGAATACTCCGATGTAGTCCCGTGTGGTGCATTTGCGGGCATAAACAATTATCCGATGGATGGACTAGCAACAATAAGCAACTCGATGACTTTATTAAGAAATCTCAACTACAAACAAGCTCACCAAATCATGCCTATTTGGAATGGATTCCATTTGATTGTATTCGTAATAGGAGATATTATTACAAGCGCGTATATGGTCTACCTACCCGTCAAATTGGTACATTAATTCCACTTGAAATAACGGATGAGACGGATGATTCATATTATGCCGAGGTAACTATTTACTTACGTGGGGGTGCTGAAAAGTTTAAATAATTATTGACATATTATTATGCATCATTTCCACTAGTTATGTGATGAGCATCCAGATATTCTTACCACGGATGTTTGGGTTACCATCGGATTCACATATGATGGATGGGAAAGAAAGTATTGTCTTGTAAAACAAGCGTATGAGAGGGGATTATGTCTGGCGTGTACGGAGCGATTAGAATCCAAGGTAAATCTATTCTGTTTCAAATGTAAATCCCCAACACTTCCTGATTGGACTACGGGCAACAAATCTTTGGATTCATTCATCGTGGAGTCATGGAGTAATACAAGGAATGAATATGATGCGTATATGCAATGGATTGAATACTCTCTATTGACAAACATACAAGAGATGACATTATTACGTCATGGATGCACACATATAGCAGACTGGTTAGAACCGATAACAAATGAATGGACACGCGTGGCACTCAAAAAGATAGTTGACGAACAAAACGATCAGCTATTTGATTTTCATCAGGTAACTTATTTCACGCGTAAAATGCATATAGTATCAGTAACATGTGTATCGTACGTTTAACGACCGTATTTGTTTACTTCAAATAGCTAACTAAGGAATACCCAGAGATCCTAACACCCGAGAATATTTGGATAATTGGGGTCACTCGGGAGCCATCTACTCGGGAATATTATTTAGTTTTCTACCACGACGTACATGCACTATTGGACAGGTTTATACGAAATATTAAAAGTGTAAAGTACATGCAGTATGGCGACTTTTACGAACTCAAAGAGATCGGATCTGGTTGTTATGGAACAGTTTATACTGCCAAATATAAAAAGTATTCGGAATTAAGGTATAGGCAACAAACTGTTGTACTCAAACGGTATAAGAGTTTTGATGAAATACCGGAATTATTTATTTCCGAGGTAAGCAATAATTGGTATTATTAATTAAAGTGATATTTAATCTGACTCTGTATTTAATAGTTCAGAAATCATGCCAAGTGTGCAACTGGTGCTTATTCTTCATTCCTCGAAATTTATGGATTCACACAAGACCCAGAAACAAAAGAGTGCATGATTGTTATGCAGTATGCTAACAATGGTAATCTTTTGTCTTATTTGGATCAAAATGTTAACAAATTGACGTGGAGAATGAAATTAGAGCACTTGAAGGGTATTGCAAGTTATCTGAATAATATCCATTGCATGGGATTAGTGCATTGTGATCTTCATGGCGGAAACATAGTTTTGCATAATGGTGATTCAGGTTATAGGGCAGACTCATTCATATTAATATGCGATCTTGGTCTCTCACGATCAGTGAATTCACGCGAGTCAAATCCAACCATTCGAGGCGTTTTACCCTTTATTGCACCGGAA